TACTGCATTGATCGATGCTTGGTCAGGCATACCCCAAGGTACGCTCTGTGGACCCTTATTATTTTTAGTATTCATTAATGATTTGCCTAAAGTATTTAATTTTGCAAAATGTTTATTGTTTGCGGATGATGTAAAGCTTTACCAGAAAATTCGACATACAAACGATTGTTTGAAGCTGCAGGAGGATTTAGAAAATCTATATTCATGGTGTATAGTTAACCACTTACACTTGAATATTTCAAAGTGTTGTGTCGTTTCTTACACCAAAAAGACGATACCAATCAATTTTGATTACGAAATAAATCATATAAAATTGTGCCAAAACAATACGATCAAGGACCTGGGTGTAATCTTTGATTCAAAATTAACTTTTACACCACATGTCGACTTNCGCAAAATTTACTTTTACACCACATGTCGACTTCATGGTATCAAAAGCATTCTCAATGATCGGCTTCATACGCAGGAATACCAAAGATTTCTCCGATCCAGTGACACTGAATTCACTTTACGTATCACTCGTGCGAAGTCTTTTGGATTATTGTTGCATAATTTGGAACCCGTTTTATAAAGCTCATGAGAACAAGATCGAGAAGGTGCAAAAAGTTTTCACAAGGTTTGCATTATGTAGATTACAATGGCCTGATGGTTTACCTAACTACGTGGGACGGCGTAAACTGCTTGGTCTGCAAAACCTCTCCGAAAGAAGAATCTATTTTTCGATTTTATTTGTATATAACGTGGTCAATTTAAGAATAAACTGTGCTGATATATCGGCTTTATTTAATCGCTATGCTCCTACTTACGAGCTACGGCGCGTTCGCCCTTTTCAAGATAATGTAGTACATAAAACGAATTACTCTTATTACGAGCCTCTTGCAAGATGCATTCGTTCATGCAATAATCTTGCACTAGAGCTAAATTTCAACCAGAGCCTATATAAATTCAAATTATACCTTTTTAAAATTTTCAATTAATTTGTAATAGTCTGTAAGAATATCTCTGTAGACGAATAATAATAAATAATAAAATAATAATAATAACAACAAACAACACTATCAACATAGACATTTTGCTTACCTAACGGCCCGCCGAAGAATTCTTCTCAGTACATATCCTCGTCCGGTGCTATCAGGTGTGCCTCCATCAGCTAAAGCAATGGTTATCGTTCGAGCATGATCCGCTAAAACCCTGTATGCCATATCAATGCCATCAGCATCATCAGCTCCTACACGTCCTGCATATTCAGATGCACCTGTACCCTCCTGAATGGCTTTGAAAAGTGGCACGAAAAGATCGGTATCGTAGTTGGATCTTTTGTTCTGGATTACTGACACAAGTCTCTCGAACCCTAAACCACAATCAATATGCTTCTTAGGCAATGGTTTAAGGCTTCCGTCTGGTTCCCGATTATATTGTATAAACACCAAATTCCAGATTTCTAAGACGTCTGGATCATCCACATTTACCAGTTCTGGAACACTGCGACCTCCGATACGATCGAAATGCAATTCAGAGCAGGGACCACATGGGCCCGTTTCTCCCATTTCCCAAAAATTGTCTTTCATGCTACCAGGTAAGATGTGCTCTGGGCGTAGTCCAAGATCTAACCAAATTTGTTTGCACTCAAGGTCAGGTTCTAACCCAGAGGCTTTATCGCCTCCAAAGTAAGTCACATATAAACGGTCTTTTGGCAATTTCATACGCTCTGTTAGAAACTCCCAAGCCCAACTACAGATTTCCTTTTTGAAATAGTCACCAAAGGACCAATTTCCAAGCATTTCGAAAAAGGTGTGATGATATACATCTTTGCCTACATCATCTAGGTCATTGTGTTTACCACCGGCACGTATACATTTTTGGGTATTTGTCACCCGGACCCATTTCGCCATTTCGCTATTGGGATCAGCCGTGCCCAAAAAGATGGGCTTAAATTGATTCATTCCCGCATTAGCAAACAACAAAGTAGGGTCATCCAATGGTATGGTGCTGGACGAATGAACATAAACATGGTCTTTCTCTTTAAAGAAGCCAAGAAAAGCATCTCGAATTTCCTTTGCTGTAAGGTGTTTCATTTTATCATAAACAATCCAGTAGAAAGCCTGCAAAAAAATAACATGAAAAATATATTCGCCATGTGCTTACTACATACATTGCATTTTCATTGCGAAAGTGCATTCGTGTCAAAACGTATACGTTCTGGTTGTTTTGATTGAATCCTTCAAAGATTACAAATCTTTTTCATTTAGGACAATGTTCGCAAGCTTTTTTTTGTTGTTATTTGATAATTTACCTTTGAAGAATACTGTTCGTTTTTCTTAAGAAATTTCAATAAAATCGAGATAAACACAGCGACAGACACTGTTTCAAACGATCACCGTTCAGCAATTGATAGTGACACGAATTTCGATACGATACGATACGATATCGATACTTTTGGGCTTCGATGCCGATATTTTCTACTCGATAGTTTTAAAACGATATTTTTTGGAATCGAGTACCAGAACCCTAGTATCGTATCGAAAGTCATAAAGTCACATTACAAGGGTAATGTTATTAACAATTCTTTCTGATATAAATTGGGCATTAAAGAGCAGATATTTGTAATATAGTTAGGATTGCATGTGGTGGAATTTGACCCCGCGACCTCGGTGTTTTAAGTCAACACATCAATCTTCACGTGCTGTTACAAATATGTTAGTGTTTGACCGAGATTCTGTTCCGATTTGTCGCGCGCGCCTTAATGTTGCGGCACAAAAGGGGTCCCTTCAGTTTATGTCGACTCTGAACGGCGATTTTGTTTTTATGGGAAGATGTTTTTCAATTTCAAGCTTTGCCCACTGCTAACCATTACACCCCAGCGGCCTATATACGAGACCTATATTCAGATAAATTTTTTGGATTTTGGTATCGATATTAGGAATATCGAGTCTTTTTATTCCGATATTAATATCTACCCGATATTTGTGAAGCGAGACTTTAAATGAGTACCATATCGATACTTTCTGTTCGATATCGTGTCCCTAGTAATTGAACTGGAAACAATCGATGACATTTCGATAGTATAGATGTTTTCCAATTTCCGCCACTCTCGATGTTTCTTCAATCACTATCGATGGTTTCTTTGGGCCCTGTCACACTATCAGTAATTATCACGATATTTGGATCGCGATCCATATTGATGGATTGATGGATCGCGCACGAATGCTACATGCTCAATATTTATCGCGTCAGTATTTGCATAACTTTTGTGCTGAACGCTTATTATGATTCGAGAAAATATTTTTATTTTGTATGAATAATTTGCAGGGGAAAATTTTCCGATACGGAACCCGGCCTTTTAAAAAAACAAAAATGAGGAGGTTTAGAGCGGCTTTTTGTGATTGTAAATCTGAAAACCCCTCCCTCCGAAGGCTTATAGTTTTTAAGAAAACTGAATTTTAAGTTGCAAAGAATGTCAACTTCAACCTCACTTTTTGCTTCGCAAACCAATTGAACTAAAATGTCGGTGCTGCCACACAACAAAAAATGCCAAAAAAAAGCACTGAAAACGAGAAACAATAAAAACGGACATTGTTATTAATTTTTTTTAATTAAATATCGATGTATTGATAAAAAAAGTGACTCAGTCTAAAATCGAGAGATTTCATAATAAAAATCGCGTGATTTTTTATTAAAAATTTTCATTATGTATTGATTTTTATGGAAAAAACGCCGCAGGCGAAAATTTTTAATAAAA